TATATATATATATATATATATATATATATATATATATATATATATATATATATATATATATATATATATATATATATATATATATATATATATATATATATATATATATATATATATATATATATATATATATATATATATATATATATATATATATATATATATATATATATATATATATATATATATATATATATATATATATATATATATATATATATATATATATATATATATATATATATATATATATATATATATATATATATATATATATATATATATATAAAATCCCTTAATTTCTGTTTAACGGAAATATTTTTTAACACATTTCTAATCACAATAGTTTTAATAACTCATTTCTAATAACCGAGTAAATAATATTTGACTAGATATTTTCAAGACACTTCTATACAGCTTAAAGTGACATTTAAAGGCTTAATTAGGTTAATTAGCTTAACTAGACAGGTTAGGGTAATTAGGCAAGTTATTGTATATCGATGGTTTGTTCTGTAGACAGTCGAAAAAAATTGCTTAAAGGGGCTAATAATATTGACCTTAAAATGTTTTTTAAAAAATTCAAAACTGTTTTTATTCTAGCCGAAATAAAAGAAATAAGACTTTCTCCAGAAGAAAACATAACATTTTCTTGCTCTGACCTATATTTATATAAATATAACTGGTTATAAATTGTGTACAATGTTCCAAGAAAACAGACAAAATGAAAAGAAATAACCTGTCATTTACTTTTGTTTTATCTTGTGGAATGTTGCTTACACATAAAAGGGGATATATAGGTGGAATAAAAAGTGTGTCGCCATCCTCGAAATTGTTCTTGTATGTTGTCTTCATCTTTAGTCTTAACAAGTGAGGCTGGCCCAAACCGTGACTGCAGTAGCCAAATCTAATCCTTGTAGTGGGAACCCTTAATTAAAGCAAGAAACCAAAAGGAGAAAGATTAGCATTGCAGCAGTTCATATTACCACAAATATATATTATTTGTTTCATGACATAGAACTGGAGTATGTGTTATGCAAGTGCCTAGCTAAAATGTGTAATTTAATTTAAACTTAAAGAGTGTGTCTGAGCACTAATTTTCAGAAAAGCCATTTGAAAGTTAAATTCCTTGTGAAATCATAATGAATGTTTTTTTTTTTTGGTTTTTAGTATCATTGTGTTAGTATAAATGTGTATCTAAATATATGTCTAATCTTCAGATACCACATTACATGCAAATTAAACTAAGTTTCGTCAACTAAAATGTCACACTGTACACCACATTTAATATATCATAGCTAGGGCCAGGAGGAATCTGCGGATGTTTTTTGCTATTTCTGCTGAAAATTTTGGTGGAAGTCTGCGGATTTCTGCGGAATTATTTTGGGAGTATCATAACTAAAACCTTAATATATGAAATAAAAAATAATATATTTTTAAGTTTTATTTAATGTTTAAAATGCTAATCCAATTAGATTCACTTTATTTGGTAAATAAAGCAAGTTTTTCATATAACATATCTAGTAAGACAGAAAATATTACTGTACAAACTGCATTGTACATAAATCAGATGAACATTTTCACATTAGTCAATAATATTACTGAAATTAATTAAAAAACTGAATAAATATAGATTTACACACATTTACTCAAGTAAATAAACAGAATTAATGATAGGCTAAACATCTGCGGAGTTCTGCGAAAAATCCGGGTGGGCCTAATCATAGCTTTATTTCTGCTACAAAAAGGTTTTTCAGCAAACAACTTCTATTATATGTAGGCTATAGAGGAGGATATAAAAAGAAATGATATATTCAACTCTCTAATTAAATGCACCTTGTGCAGCTAATAAAGTCTTTTAGGCTTATTTGAAAACTTAAATGACGTGTTGACCACAGTTGAACAACGCTCAGTGAGAATACTTTTTTGCACAAATTCTTTTTGTTCTAAAGAAACATGTCTGATTGCTAGCAATCATCAAAGAGCCAACTTTTTTTTTTCAAATAAATACTATGCTCTTAAAAATAAACTTTTCATACATCAAGAATACTAAAAATATGTTTATTTAAAATGTTTTATATATAAAAAAAACAGCTTGAGGAGAGAATCAGTACATTGGAATACTATTTTTTCAGAAGGATCATGTGACACTATTAATTATATACATTGTATTAAATTCACAGTATTACTGCTTGACTGTATTAATTAAATAAAGCTGACACTATCAGTAGAGAATTTACCATACCAACCTAAAAGCTTTAAACAGTATTGTATGTTTAAGATGTTACTTACTAGTCCTATTGTACTTTGGAGAGGTTGTCTGACAGGAGGATCCCTTCAACTCAGCAGAATTCTCAGCAGACCATCAGCGTACACCAATCTAAGAATAAAATAAGCAATTTGTTAAAAACCAAAAATATATATTTTATATTTCCAGGTTTATAGGAAAGAAGAAAGCTAAAGCAGATTTAAAATGTAGAAAAAAATAAAACCTATTGACAATTTAATGGCACAACATACCCTAAACTAAGCACACTCAAATGGTTAATATTAACTGTTAAGGATTCATTCATTCATTGTCTTTTGGGCTTAGTCCCTTTATTAATCTGGGGTCACCACAGCGGAATGAAAGGCCAACTTAGCCAGCCTATGTTTTACGCAGCGGATGCCCTTCCAGCAGCAACCAATACACACTCATTCACACACACTTATACACTATGGTCAATTTTAGCATACCCAATTCACCTATGTCTTTGGACTTGGGAAAACCGGAGCACCCGGAGGAAACCCACGCCAACACGGGGAGAGCATGCAAACTTCACACAGAAACGCCAACTGACCCAGCCGAAGCTTGAAGCAGCAACCTTCTTGCTGTGAGGCAAACGTGCTACCCTCTGCGCCACCGTGCTGCCCTGTTAAGGAATCAGATTAATATAAATGAATTGACATGTTTATTTAGTGTCTGACACATTAAATATTGCATTTTTAAATATTGTTTCATTATAAGATTTATTTCAGAATTAACTATAGAACCTGGATATATCGTCACATTTTCATGCACAGCAGCATTTCCAAGAACATAGAAAAACAGAATATAGGCCAACTGAAAAAAAATAAATAAAAAAATTCTGAGGGTATAATCTTGGATAAAAATATCACAGTTTCACAGTATTGTGATTACTGCTCTGAAATGTGTTTTTTTTTTATCTCTGTGTAAAAAACAGCTACTTTTTCCCCATTGAACACAATATGTTTTGTTTTAAGAAACATTTAAAATATTTTGTAACAGTAAACGTGCCAGGCTAAATAATAATTTAATAAAATAGTACTATCTTCATTAGACTCTTCATTAAAACACTGATTTCTTGTGAAGGCATAATAAGCTATTTGTTTTTCAGATGTTTGCTGAATCGTGAGCTGACCAGTAGCTTTTGATGTGGAGGGTCTTTTGCTGCTGTAGATAATGTTGGACTATTTTTTTAAGTCTTTGATAACGCGCTAAAAACCATATACAATGCATCCGGAAAGTATTGATACTTTACTTTTTCCACATTTTTAATGTTTCAGTCTTATTTCAAAATGGATTAAATTCATTAATTTCCTCAAAATTCTACACACAATCCCCATAATGTGTGTTGACCCGATTTTAGTTAATCATTTACAAGTCAATATTGCCTATATGGATTGTAATTTTAAAAAAAATTAACATGTAAAATTGCAGTGTTAATTGCAATGCCATCAAACATTTTAGACGCACCAGTGCAAAAAGCTAGTCTAGAGCACTTGGAATGCTGGTGTAGTTCTAGTTAAATTCAGTTTAGTTAAAGCTGTATATGCAACAGGTCTCAAGTAGAGGATATAGTATTTAACTAATCTTAACAACTAAACATTTACGAATCTGTATTAGCCAGCTCATGTACTACAATGTAACAGATACTGTATATTGCCACCTTGATACTTAAGCTTTCTTTAAAATATTTTGTGTTCAACCGATTAATTAATTCTTTCATTTAATTTTTTCAGTGTAATAGTATAGCTTACACTGGTGTATTTGTATGGACCCCCCAAAACAGCGGAGGCCACTTTCTGGCCACCCAAGTATAAACTTCTAGCCTAGCCACTGTGAACTACCTGTCTGTCCTGCTCCAGAACTCTTTGTCGGCTGCTTGTATGTCTGGATACAGCTGCACAAGTCTTTTAACACTGACAAATACAGCCTCTGCACATCCTCACAACCAGGAGAACAGAATGATCAGGAGGACCTGAAAAATATAACCAACTGAAATCAGTTGAAATGTATTTTGTCTTGTGATGATGGCACAAAAATAAATTATTTTTCACAAAGGATGTGCTGTTACCTATGAAACATTCTATAATGAATGATCTTTTTGATCCTGTTTCCTTTATGTCATTCACATAGTACACTTCAAAAAGTATGGTATTTTTACAACAATGAAACTGCAAACAACGTAACTATAAGGGGGTAAACAGTGAGCATCTTTTATTATAAGCAATTTACTGAATACTTTGTCACTGGTATTACCTAAAAACCAAACGTCCCAAGTTTGGCTCATAGCTGTCCACACATCTGCCCAGTAGCTTGTGGTAATACTGAAGACACTGATCAGCTGGTCCAACNTGAGTTTGGGAGTTGAACTGCAATCAGGCATCCAATACTGCAAAGAAAGAGAAACTCACTTTGGGTTAACAAATAATGTAATCCCACACATTTCAAGTAATTGTGCAGTTAATTCTCTTAAAATGAATGAATGAATTCTCTTATTGAATTTTCTGAGAGCTTATGAATATATTTTGTCTTCCCAAAATAGCATGTACTGAAACACAAAATTATATAAATATAATTTGATAAGAGCGTGACGTGGTGGCACAATAGGTAGTGCTGTCGCCTTACAGCAAGGATGCTGACTCGAGCCGCAGCTGGATCAGCAGGCATTTCTGTGTGTAGTTTGCAAATTCTCTCTGCGTTTGGTGGGTTTTCTCTGGGTGCTCCGGTTTTGCCTCAAGTCCAAAGACATGGGGTACAGGTGAATTGGGTAGGCTAAATTGTCTGTAGTGTATGAGTGAGAACAAGCGTATATGGTTGTTTCCCAGTGATGGCTTGCAGCTGGAAGGGCATCCACTGCGTAAAACATATGCTGGATAAGTTGACAGTTCATTCCGCTGTGGTTACCCCAGATTAATAAAGGGACTAAGCAGAAAAGAAAAATGAATGGAAAAAGAAGAATGAATGAATGAATGAATGAATGAATGAATGAATGAATGAATGAATGAATTTAATAAGAGTTAAACTGATCTGTTAACATGTCTGTCAGGAGCTGATCTACCTGTTGTCAAACTGATGAAAATGTTTTCTCAATTTACTTTAACATTTTTGTGTTTGTTTATGTTTTTATAACTTGCAGCCATTGTTAAATTTAAAAGTATTTTAAACATGCATGGACATCTAAATGCATATAGGGCACATATCTCAAAACATTATGAAATATTTCCAAATAAATCAATTTTGAATTAAAATGTATATTAATCTCCAGACTTGCATCTCCCTGATCTTTTTAAAAGAACGGCCATTCGTTTGCTCATCACTGTTTGACAAGTGTCTGGCAGTCAGTCAAAAATATACTTACATATAAAGATGTTCATCAGCAACACGGCACTTAGGTTAAACTTAGACCTCCTTTTCAGTTGATGTGGAAAACAAAAGCAAAAGAAAGAAAAAACAAAACGACTGAATACAAGTTGCATATCATGCCTGTACAAATCAAAATGTATTCATTTAGGGCTTAAATTGACTTAAGGATGAGTTAAGGTGTAAGGGATGGGTGAACAGTGTAAATATACATGTAATTCATAGCTATGATGTAAAGCTGAATTTTCAGCATCATTACTCAAGTCTTCAGTGTCACTTGATCTTTCAGAAATCTTTTTTTAAGATGTTGATTTAGTGCTTGAGGTTGAACTAATATAATGGTGATTATCAAATGGTGCTGATTTGCTGCTCAAGAAACATTTCGGATTGCTATCAATGCTAAAAACAGATGTGATGACAAATAATTTAGTGTAAACTTTTTTCTAAGATTTAATAAATCAATTAATCATAAAAAATTAAACAAAATGAAAATCACAAATATTACTTCATTAGCAGTAAATCTATATATTTACTAAGTTCTGAAGAATCATGTGATGTGAAATTTAATACCACTAACATGTTTCAATGTCAAAACTTTCTTAAAACAACTGCAATAAAGACAAGTAACAGATGCATAATATATAGACATGTAACATGTGCATAATGATGTGCAATGGAAATTCATATGAATTAATCCTATGCTTAAAGTTACCTGTCTTTCCTGTATCTCTGTGATCAGCTCCCTTCAGAAATTTAGGAATCTTGAGTTATATTTTCTGTAGCAGGAGGTTATTCTCTCACTCCTGAAACCACAGAACACTTTTTTACTTAACATTTAGTTTAAGATACCATGAAATATCAAAACACGATTGAACTTTTGATTCACGGTCCTTTACAGTAACGTTACAATGCGTATTTTAGACTACATATGGAGTGCATTCAATAAAACATTGACAAAACCTCTCATCTACACATAAAGAATAAATAAAAGCCAAAACTTTAACAAACAAGTTTAACAAGAGCTAACATTAAGTAAGTTAACGTAATATTACCCCGACGCTAACGTTACCAGTGCTAATATGCTAACGGACTTTTACGAAGACTTACCACTCTTATATAACATAATATTCAACTGAATATTCATCAATTGCCAATAATAAATGTGTGAGGAACAGTTTTATGTAGTATTTGCTTTGTTTTAGGGTCTAAACTTACCTGCAAACAGTCAAAACGGCAGCTTGAGAGAAGTCGTGTTGTGTCTTTTAGGTGGTGTCGTGTCGTGTTGTAGCTTCGTTTCCCATAGCAACATCCTCTCCGCTCCAGTGTTGGAAGCAAGACGCGCTCGCGCACATTAAAGTCTTGCAGTATTACATTTATAAACATGATCACTCCATAGACAATTTAAATAATAACCTTGTATTTTATATCTTGAATTTAAAATGTATTTAGCAGTTTTATATACGCTATTATCTTTAAGACGAGCTTTATAGCCTACTAAACTGTTACAAAACAAACACTTTATTTGTGCATTCACTGTCAAAAATAAATAACCAATAAATATAAATGCAAGTATATATAAAACAAAGATGCCACTCTGTAAAAAGGTGTTTATTTTAATTAAACAGCCGAAATGCAGAACATACTTGATTTTTACACTGGGAAAAATGTATTAGAAAAAGCCACAATAAAAAAAAGCAAACAGCAGTTAACACCAGAAAAAAACAACGTTTTCATTATTTAAGCATAACAACAAAACTTTTTATATTTTAATGAATTGAAATCATGTATTGTAGGCATTTTGGTCAGTTTTACTGCATTAATGTAGGCTATTTAAAGCTGGACCGACCGACGCAGTTCACATGATGCATGTCGCGTTTGTCTAATTTATTATGCACGCAAAAACTTACTTGTAAACCAAATATGTTGGCGGATTCTTTCATGGGCATGAGAGATCAAGTGCTTATGAGTGCTTCGTCGGCCTCTGGTCGTTAACCGACGCAGAGCCGACGTTTGTTGAGCTGGAACAACAGAACACACGACCGAACGATCATGCGTATGTTTGGCCGACCATATACCGATGTTAGAATTAAAGGGGCCGACGTGTTGACCTTCGGCCGACGTCGGCCCAACGTATGTGTGCTGTCTGGGTAGCTGAACTCTGATATCCCTTTTTATTTTCACCATGACCATTCACTCAGAACGGACCTTTGGGTCACTCGGAATGTGGTGAAATTATAAATTTGTGTCACTTTCTCTACGCTGATAAGATATATAGTCAGGGACACGACATTCCTATGTAACTCACAACGATACTTCCGAGTTTCTTCCCACCACAGCCTCAATTTCGCTTTAAAAATGGCGGCAGCGTGAAATCAGTCTATGAAAAGACAGTTCACCGGAAGCCGTCGGACTGGCTGGCTAAAAATCAAAAGTCTGTGCGTATACCCAATTGCTGAAATGCGATTGGCTAATTAACAAGCAGCTGAATAGTTGGACCTAAGAAAATACCTGGTGACTGTCCATATATACTACACACAATGACTTCACATTAACAGAAGAGGGCGCTTCAGGATAAAACAAAACTTCCTTGTAGGCTTTACTTTCAGTTGGGGTTTTCCCAACAAGTGCACTGAAACTTTTTTGTAACTTGTCTGAACCCGTGTCATTGCATTCAAATAACCCTCATTTGAAAGTCCCCCCAAAAAAGGTGACGTTTTGTGCCCCTCTTCAAAGTAAACACCATCCCCATGTTAACATATTCACTGAGAAAAACCAATAGTCATTCCTAAACCACGTGTGTATGTCTGTGGGATGCTCTAGTCATGACAGAACAGTTCAGCTGAAATGTTTTCTTCTGTGTACGTGCATGATTGTGTGTCACCATGGTACAGCTGGTACCCGTGTATTTCCTGTAGCACTACTTGGCTAAACTAGCAATGCCAGCCTTGAATAAAATGGAGTTGAGCATGTTTAGAAAAGCATTTGATCTCAGACTTGTTGTCTGTGTGATAAACAAGGAACTTCTAGCATGTTTTGTACAACTAAAATGCCATAAACAAACTTTCATCTGTATTTACAGTGCGCAGATTACGAGACACATCAAAACCATTCAGTTCTGATTGTGGTTATGCTAATTAGTTTTCTCTGAGCTGACTGAGGTGTTTGTTTTCATCATTTTGCACTGGTACATTCTAGTTTGTGTTGGTTTTGGTCAGTTTTTCTCCTCATTTGCCTATGGTATGTATCAATTAAAGATGATTTACGTCCCATATGCTCATCCCATTTCCTGTGACATGGCCTACATGTAAGATTATGGTATGTCCTGCCCTCCCTCACTTGTTTTGTCGTCACTCGTTTTCCGACTAGCCTTCAAGGTGATTCAGCGTTATGGAATCACGTTTTTAGGAGAAGCCCATTAACCGTTTCCTATTTCCTGCTTGAAATTGACATTTGCTAGATTTCTCATTATAGATGTGCCTCCAAAATACACATTTTCATGACTTTTAAGCTAAAAACAGTTCCCTATTGTCCAACGCCCACTCATGGAAAGTGCTGAAATGTAATATCACTGTATATCGTATGATAAAACTGACTCCTCTGACTCAAACACATGCTTAAATGTATTTAAAATAAAAATAATGATGCATATGTGGAGTATATTCAAACGTAAATTAGCATTTAGCATGAAGATAGATGGCAAATTTATTGTCAATATTGAAATGAATGGTATTGTTCTAGAAAGTGTCCATGTGTGTGTATGTGAGATCATATTCTGAACTTACACTACAGTAAGTGTTCTATGCAAGAAGTATGTGTCTGTTTGCATGCGTGTAGTTCACACTATTCAGGAATGAGTGTGTGTGTGTGTGTGTGTGTGTGTGTGTGTGTGTGTGTGTGTGTGTGTGTGTGTGTGTAAACGAGCATGAGTCAGGGCACTCCCTAACACTCGTGGTACTTTGACGTAAAACAGACAAGACAGAACAGGCTGATCCAACTCTTGGGAAAAACACTGAAGTAGGCAGGGCTTAATACTACCGGAAGCGCAGGGCTCGGGGTCAGTTAAGGGTTCAGGTATCGTGCAGCTGCTGCGTATTATTTCTGACATTTAAGAGCGCTGGCAACAAACACAGTATCTACTTGGTCTGTATTTACAGTAGAATCAGTATCTGGACCTAATAGAGGGAATGTTTTGGAAAGTGTGCGGTGTATGTTACAACATAAATGAGGAATGCTATTGGTTTGCTCTTGTATTTGCCTCTCTTTTTCCTGTATGTACCTCCCTTTGTCTTCTCTCCGCCCATTTCCGTTGCTCTTGGAATATTTCCTGGGAGCAAGAGATTTAGGAAACTCCAAAAAGAATAAAGTGACTCATGATTTGAGTCAGTTTTGATCAATGCCAAAACGCAGATGTTTGAACAGTCTTAAACACCCCAATAGGAGTGACAATAGAAAAAATGTATTAACAAAACAACTTTTAGATGACAATTTGGTTGTTTTTATCCCTGGTTTAAATGCATTTTTGGATACTCTAACTAAGTAAGAATTTTCAGGCAAATAGGCATACTTTGGCATTACATAAACAGATAATGGTGGATGAAGTGAGAATATACAAATCATTCACTGCTGTAAAGTATCTATACAAAATTTGTTTATTGCAATAGCAACTGATTGCTTAACATCACGTCAGCATTTAATTTTAGAATTAGTGTGGAAGCTAATACGATAATACAGTTCAATAGTGTAAATAAACAGATTTCACCTATAAATGTCAAACTACTGTTGGTTTCGTGATGTGAGCTGAACGTGGAACAAACTTTTAACTGCAGATCCACTTTTTTAGAATAATATGTTGTTGTTTTTTGCAAAATGCAGCAAAATATGCAAAATGTAACATCCATTTAGCACATAACGAGAAAAACAAATGCAAAAGTCTTGTAGAAACACACCCACAATTATAACAATGATAAACGAGGGCTGGGCGATAACACGAAATTTGATCGTGGACGATCAAAATTACTGCACTATCCACTTTTTCAG